TGCATGAATGTAATAACCAGTTTAAGAACCAAACCAATTTTAGAGCTTCATAACTACATTGTGTTAGCCCCAACAGAAAGAATCTTGCTTAAGTAACAATTTGTGAATAAATCAGGCCACAACCTGTTGCCTTTATCTTATTTTTTTGTATACTATTCTCACTGAAAGCTGATGAGGGCTGGTACTAAAGATGTGAAAAATTCAACTCTAGTAATAAAGCCAAACCTTTTTGAGAGTGAGGAACTAGTGACATGGACTGTATTACTTTGAAAATACGGGACTCCAGCTTAAATGTTTCTTTGTGTTTTGTTTGGGTTGTACAGATTGTATGTGTGTGTGTTTCACGGCTGTAAGTTAGTGTTGTAAATGATACCACTGCAGTAACTGGATAGAGTGTGTTTTGGTGCCAAGAGAGCGCAGTCTGCCTGGCACCGAAGGCTTTACTGTCGACGAACAACTGTAAAAGCTGTATCATTGAATAGATAGGTTATTTAAAGATTTGCATCCAATTTGTTTAGATTAGTTAAGCTTGTACTGCACTAATTCACTGTGTTGTACTACTGTCTAAGGAATTGAAGTGCCAACAGTCCTCCTGGGTCTTTACTTACAATTTACTCTCCAAAAAAAAAAAACCCATGGGCCCCAAAGAAATTATTCAGGCTAAAAATACTTGACCCAATATTATCTAGTTTTGAGTGAAATTGTAACAGCTGATCATACACTCTACTAATGAGGTCTTGTTGTCATGGTGTGGATTTTATTTTTGTATTCGGTTTTATTTTGACAGTTGCTTCATGCCCTGTTCCCTGTTGATTGTCTGCCCCGCCCTGATGTGTTTCACCTGTGTCTGTGTGTGTCTATATGTACCCTGTGCTTCTCTCCCCTTGTTGCTGGTTCATTGTCTTGTTCTTGTCTTGTTCATGTCCTGTTCTGGTTTCTTTGGATTTTCGAGTTTATTTTTATGCCTTGGACTTTGTTTTATTAAAACCTTTATTTTTGCATTCCTGCGTTTGAGTCCTCCATCATCTCTCACCACTTGACACTTGTACCATTAAGAACAGGTTCTGACGCCATCATATACTCTTGTAGGGCTCATTAGTGGACATTGAGTATGAAAAAAAAGCATAAGAATACAGAATTTTAATTAGAAAACAAAATATGCTAGAAAAACAACTATATTAGACGTTGCTCCCAAACTGGTCTGACCACTCCGGTCCCAGTCTACATGTGAGGAGCTGACCAGATGAACATTTTGTATTTTTAACTTCAAACTTTGCACCCAAACTTTGTAATAGTAATGGTAAATACAAATACACAGTAGCAGACTGTTGGCAATCGCAACCACGCAACATTTTCACACGGCATTATTCTTTCACTCTGTGTTCACCTGGCGTTCCCAGAGGTCTCCCATCACAGTACTAACCAAGCCATGCCCGGGCTTAGCTTAGGAAATATGGCGGGATCTGGCTTTCACATATGTATGGCTCTCTTCTGTGCTCTTAAATGCATCTGCGGGCCTTATCTCAGCAGTATCTATTCTATAAAATCTCTGCGTGAACCGATTAGAAATGGTTAAAACCTGTTTTGCCAAATGGGCTGTTTTTCCACACTTCAATCGTCACGGTTTTTTGTGAATTTATTTTTTTCAGTTTTCCAATTTTCACAAGTGCCTTTTGATGAACTGAAGTGAAATCCTGCCGCTATTGTTTCACGTACTAACAACTCAAGAATGCAGCCGAACGCCACATAAGCCTAGTACAATGGAGTTTCAAGACCACCTCACAATAATGAAAAGATATTTGAACTTAATCTTCTTAAATCGCCACTACGCACCTACGACAATAAACGTGCATTATCTGCCGCAGCATTGCCGTTGAACCCGTAACGAACGACTCTAGCAGCCTCTTTTGTCACTTAAACAGTCTCTTTCCCCAAAACAGCCCCATTCTGAAAACAAAACCCCTCTGTGCCTTTTTACCTTTTACTCCCAGCGATATTGTGAGACAGTCCACAGTAAATTAGAGCATTTGGGATTTTTACGACAATGCCTTCTTGTTTGCCTGGTTATTCTGAAAGCCATTCAAACCCAACTATTATTTGTGTATGGGGGGAAATTATCATAGCGCTTTCATTCAGAGCTGTCACAATCAGCGTTTTTCTGTGACAAGCACAAACCAATCACACTGTTACGGCAGGCACACATTTTGTATAGCCAGGAGAACAATAATGTTTCCATGGTAATTTCATAGCTATTATTATTATTATTCTGGGGCGTTTTGCGTTCAGGAATCTAAACAGCCTGGATGTGTCTATTTTTAAAAAGTACTCACGTTGTATGTCTCCAGCTTGACTCTGTTTTTGAAGATGTGCGTGGTGAAGTTGGCTTTCTGGAAGACTTGGTTAAATGCGTCTTCGTCCTGCGGTAGACGGAGAAAAACAAGAGAGCTGTAAAATGCAAAGTCACGGCCTGCTACACTCAGACCTGCTGCTTCACATGGAGAGGCAATTGAGAAGTCTCATCGAAACTTTATGTGAGATACAGCAAAACAATCATCTATGGACAGATGGATATGGATATGCATGTCTAATGAGTTAGGAACGATGTCTGCAACTTGTATTTCCTTTATGATGTTTGACTATAGGACCCTGTCATATAATCTAAATTAATTATCTGTCATAATAAATACATTGGAAAAAGGTCCCTTGGTGATCAATAAGAATCAACAATAACATTTCTCTGGAGAAGAATAGTTAGACCAATGGTGAAGGGCCTCAGCTGTCTAATGAGGATTTGAATTCATTGCATCCAATCAAGAACCTGTGGGGGCAATTTGCAAAGTAACTGACCACACATTTAGAACAAGGGAAGTATTATGGATCATAAAAACCCTAATGGATCTAAAGTACTTTAACTCAAGTCCAAACTCGCAAAATACAGTATACTGTAGTCCAAACACTAGTTGATCTCTCAATGGACCGTATTGAGCCAGGACCCGCCCCCACTGGTTAGGACTTCTTCTGTCACGACATTGAACTATGTAAGATGAGATGTAAAAATATGTAAATCCAATGCTTGTACTGGACAAAACGAAAGCGAGATGTGTTTATGAAATATCGTGAACTCCTTGGTATCTATTCAACACCTTGGTATCGCTTTGTACTCAGCAAACCCTATATTTGCTGATGCATTTCTGTGTGCGCCCATGCGAAACGTCTGCGTTGTGTGTTTCGGACTCACTGTGTCCCGGAGCCGCCCGAGATGCTGTGCACTGTGACCCAGCAGGACCTCCGCTGTCTCCTGGAAACACGTCACCCACTGGTTATCCCCGAAGTCGGACAAGTTTGCCTGAGAGGGACACACGACGTGAAGAGGCTTAATGAAGGCTGCCTAATGAATTATGTCTGCTTGCATAAGTTACATACATCCAGGGGCAAAGCCAGCGCAACCAGCCAAGCACTTTCTTTCGGCTGTCCACTGACCACTCACAATCCCCCCTAGAGACTGGTCATGGGGCAAACTTGTCAAACGCTTTGTGAGCTTTGTTTAATTTGTTTGTTAGTAGGGTTAGCTTCTCAAGTGGAATCAAATCTGGATGTTAACCTGTAGCGATGCGGGGACTAACATTTATGAAAATTATGCAAAATATGAGTTTCAAACCTTGTCGCAACATCGTTCCCTCATCAAAATCATCCCTGCAGTTGTTTTTGTTCCATCTCTGCTATTAGGAGGGACTTGGCAAAACACAATTCTACTTTAGTCTAAAACTTAGTAGGTCTCTGCGCCAGAATCTCATAAATAATACACTGAGCCTTTTCAAAACATGAGTCGTTTGGTGTAGGGCATTTCTACAGTTCAAATTAATTATGTAAAGCTGCGAGCCACTTCTTAATTGTACCATTATTTATGTTTACCAAAATAGCAGAATGCAAGGTTACACATCTACCACCACATAAATGTTGCTCACACAGTTAACACAAATTAACACAAACAAGGAAATACAGAACAAAACTATGAACAAAACAGCTAAATGCTTTGACGAAGGCTTTCATGTCAAAACATTTACTTTACTGTAGCCAAATAACAACTTTTGGAACTTGTGCTGATGTGCTAGCCACTCAACACTGTTCAACAATGCAAAAATATGTGTTCTTTCAAATAGTTTATGAATATATTGCCGTAGAGTGTAGATTGTGTGTGTGAATATGAGGATATTTGTGTTTGATAATACACTCGAACGGCGACGTGGCAAGAGCTCTGGAGTGTACCATCTTCTCTGTCTGGTGCACATTGGGGAAGTCTCGCACAGTTTTTCCAATGTGGTTTTATTGCAAATGGCAAATACATTCTTGAATCTTAAAAATCTTTGATGAGAAGAATTTTGCATTATTAAAAAATGCGGCAGAGTTTCATGTTTGTATCAGTGTCAGCCGGTGGTGTGCCATAAAACTTATTTCAATGTGCCCTGGCTTAAAAAGGTTCGGGAATACATCCAAGAAATATCTCCATCGGGAGGTAAACATGGTGATCTGCTCGACCCTCAAATTCAATTTAAGTTTAATTTATGGAGTTGCATAAAAATGATGGCTGCACCAGATTTAGCATTAGCTACTTTTCACCTGTAGTCCTTCACAATACAATCGTATAACTTGCATATTAATATACAGTTCAAATACAGTTGCATGGCCGTAAAGAGCTTTAGTGTGTGCTATCTTCTCTGTATGGTGCACACTGGGGTAGTCTTGCACAGTTTTTCCAATGTGGTTTTACTGCAAATGCCATATTAAACTCTTACATCTTGTAAATAAAAAGTGTTAGGTGTTAAGACTTACATTAAAATATAGTTCACATATCAATATTGTATTTTACTGCAGTTTTTTACTTGTAGCCATGTTAAATAAATCAAAAGAAATGTTGCCAACACCATCTGGAAGAAAAAAACAGCTCATTTGCAAGAGTAGCGTGCCCTTACTGAGAGCAGGAGTCTGTATTCAAAGTTGGGGTAGTCACGATCGCATTTCTCGCAGCGATACAGCCCGTTGTGTTGATCCAGGACTTTTTTGTTGCAGTCTGCGGAGGGACAGGCGCGGTACAGACAGTTCTCCTTGCGTATGTACACCACTGTAGCCACACAGCTGAAGTAATCCGCCTGAAAAAAAGACATCAAAAGGAAGCAGCAGTCAAAACATGAGCCTTCTGCATCTGAGAACATTTCACTTCACAGCAGCAACATGTCTCTGCTTTTAAACTGTTTACACAAATGGGGTGCATTACTTACACACGTGCGGAGACTCGCTGGGCCAACGGTTAAAGCCAGGAAATTACCAAATAGAATGTAATACGGTGAGAAAGTATAGCGATGGCAGACGTTACTGAAGCATAGTTTAGACAGTATGAGTATATAACAGTATTTTAATGTTAAACTAATGGTTTGGGGAACTCTGGGGTTTTTTGTATTAGGGTTAAAATGAAGATAAAAACAATGATTGATCATCTATTCTACTTCTCTTTGAGGTGACTGTTTTCCTCATCATGTAAAGGAATTGACCTTGGATCGGTGATTGCCTGTTTTCATTATGTACTTTTCACTTTAATTAAAACCACACGAAAATACCACTTTGTTTTCGATGGATCATTACGAAAATTCCCACAACAGCATTGAGAAAGAGAAACATTAATTCACATTTGTTTTGTGTGGCGTGCGCTGGCTTGCATTTCCACTTGGTAAGTGACGATTATTTTGATAATAATAAAAAATAAAGGTTCTGTTTAGCTGTGCACACGACTGAGGGACATTATCTTCACTCTTTTTAATGTGATTTTAAAGCCTTGTGTTATTGCGTCTAACTCATTTTGTTAAGCATTTTGAGTTGCCTTGTGTGTGTGTGAACGGTGCTACTCAATTAAACTTGCCTTGCCTATTATATCCAAACTATTTCAAAATGGATTTTTGTTGCTCTTAACTTGTTACAGTCCTAAATCTCCACCACTTTAACTTATATTGAACCTAAAACAAACTAAAATCATGCAAGTAACACGCCACCATCTGAAAGAGTGGTTTTAATAAGAGCTATTCATTTCAATTGGGATCACATGAGAGCCACAAAACATCTAAATAATAATAAACACTGCAAACTCATTTTAAGTAGCGTGGTCCTTGTGGCCACTCGTGCTGTCCTTGCTCTTACCTCACTGTTGTTTTCCTTCATTCATTTTTGATGCTCGTATATTTTTGTCCCATTCAACCTTTGTTACCTTCACCATATTTCAGCAGCATTGTAACAAGCATGGGGTTTGTTTCTGGGGTTTTATATTGTATTCAATGACGAGGGCTCAAGGATACGGCTCCAACATTGGTGGAAAATCTCACATCATGATTAATATGTATTTCGGAACTTAATTGTAATTATGCAACATGGGTCATTTCGTAAAAACATATTAATGAGAATGTTGAATGACCTTGTGTCTAGATAAGGTCAGGGCGGTAGGGATAGCAGAAAGAAACCAACACACAGATTGTACTTGTTGTCAATAACCTTCATTTACTGCAATTAGTTGTGTGTAAATAAAAATACATTTAAAAAAGGTCACAAAGAGAGGTCAAATTAAAGCTGGGGAACCTAATTTCATGGTCGCATCAAAAACACATGTTGTTTCTTTGTCTGTTTGTTTAGATGCAATAAAACTCAAATCCAAAGTAAAATAAATAAAAATCTCAGAAATAGGTCAAGAAACTTCAATATTTTGTACAGCCATAAGTAACAACAGCAGTCGCCTCGGGGGACTTCACAAAGTTGTTGATTCACCAACAACAGATCAGAGAATCAACCAGTTTGAACATAGGAAATGACCAATGTCCATTAATCCCTCTCTATGTGTTTTTTTATCATTACATTTCTTGAGTCTGAACTGATTGATTCTCTGATCTGTGTTGGCGAATTGACATTTTTGTAAAGCCCTCCATGATAACTTCTGTTGTGATCTAGGGCTATACAAAAATAAATCTAATTGAACACCATCATAATGAACACATAATTGGTCCATAGGAAGAGGGATGTCCATAAATGTTCATAAATGTCCCAGATTACACACTGTCTGGGTCCTTTATTTTTTTCAAGAAACCTTTCATATAGTAGTTCACATGTTTTTAACTTTGCGACAAGGAAGCAAATTATGACCGTATTTTTTGTGTTGAATAGTGACTTGAGTGCATCATTACGTTATAATTAAAGCATTTATTTAGTATTTTTTCCACATTAATCATTCCCCGCGGTGCCCCATTACTCAGCCTACGTTCCTGGCTGACAGAGCTTCAGGATAATAGCGCGCTCAATTCTTGCGTCGCCCGCTGTGAAGGGCCCCCCCGCGGAGTTTAAGGTCACCCATCTCTCACACGGGAGCTTCAAATCTTAGCTCAAGATCTTGGTAGTGTAGGAAGGTAGTAGGAATAAAGGTATTGGGTTCTTCTATACCAGGCCATAGTAAGTTAGCGATGTTATTATTTCAACGGTATATTTCAGACTTTCTTTGAAGCTTTGAAACATTTAAGTAAGTAGTGAGTAATGCTTATTTATATTGCGCGTTTTGACAGACCAAGGCCACCCACTTTTCAGAGTTCACATTTTTTTCCATTCTCTCCACACATTGCCAATGACGGAAGCAAAGTGGAAATCACACTGGCATATCAAAGCCTCTGACCAAACATCATCCATTCACTCATTTGATTCATACCTATTGTGCATGTTTTTAGTGGCAGGGGAAACCGGAGCACCAGGAGGAAACCGCAGCATTTCAGATTCATGCTGCTAAACCTAAAATCTGGAACAATCTTCCTGAAAGTGTGAGACAGGCCTCTTCTCTGACCATGTTTAAAACCAGGTTAAAAATAGTTCTGTTTAGCTGAAGGATTTTATATTTTTATCTTTCTTTTTAATGTACTGTGATTAATTGTGATTTTAATTCTATCTTGTTTTGTTTGGCACTTTGAGTTGCCTTGTGTATGAATTGTGTGTGTACGAAAAAACTTGCCTTGCCTTACGCAGACACGGGGAGAACATCCAAACTCCACTCAGAAAGGCCCTGTTTTACGACCAGGATTCAAACTCAGGACCTTCATGCTGAGAGGCGAGGTTTGCTAACATTGCTAACTTACTATTGTCTGGTGTAGAAAAACCAAATACCTCAAATATCCAAATATCTCAAGGTCTGACTGTTTTCAAACTTATGCTTGGATTTTTTTCTTTCTTTCTTAATATTTTTGCGACACAATCGAGCTTTTGCCGTTTACTTTGTCTAAAGGTGATTCAGGGACAAAAGGACTTTAAAACGTGCAATGCGAATAGAACAAAGTGGCGCTCATGTGGGAGGCTGCCCTGCGAGTGCAACAAGACGGCAGGTGGCAAGAACACAATGAGCAATCGCTTGTGTAATATTTAACACTGAAATATTCGGGACCACGCACTGTTTCTGAACTTTTCTTTGTGAAATAAGATGACACGAGATTGTATAAGAAGCAGAAAACTTTGAGATAAAAGACTTGGGAAGAAGTGGAAAGCACGCAGTATCGTCAAAAAACAGCTCATCTTTGCCGTTTATAATGTGTGTTATGTACCTTATGTTAAAGGAGACATTTTGACTTTTGTCTATGGTATAACATTATTCCTCAGCAAAGGCTGTTTTTGATCAATCCTCGCCAATATCGAGATTCTCTGGCACAAACATGTAAATCCTATAAGCTCCCAGTCCTGTTAAATTAGTATGATGTCACTGTACCACTATGTCCTCGTACAAACATTTTTTTGCTTAATTTCTCAAGTGAAATGTGTTTTTTTTTACAATCACATGGGTGTGTTTTCAGCCAGTCATTTTCAAAATTGGAAAATCACAAATGTATGTTGGTAGCATAGGGATAAGGCAGGTCGATAGCATTAGTTACTCTTCAAACCATATTGTTTCATATATGCTCTACGGAGATATTATTTCCAAAACTTAGACATGATTCTAAAATATAAATTAATAAGTTTGAATCATCAAGTTAAGAATTGATGGAAGTTATTCAGACCCGGGCATGAGGAAAACTTTTAAAAACCATTTTTGCTCAATCAGCTATGTTGTAGTTAAGTGACTGTTCCCAAATAAATAAATAAACAATCTTTCTTAGACTATGTGTGACGTAAAATAAAAATAAAATAAGCCTTTAATCATGGTTTTATTTCAAGAATACAAATATAACATGGGCAACGTATTTATTCAATGTAAAGCAAAATACAGCACAGTATGAAAAACTAAATGTGAGAGAAGTTGGCACGGCGGGTAAAATCATCGCCAACAAACATCCAGTTGGTGGTTGAATGGTGTTTACATATCTCTATTTGAATTGCAGAGAATCTTGGAACAATTTAAAAGGGGCAGATTGAGAGTGCGAGCTCCCTGAATAATAGATGTAGATGTTCTTTCTCTGGTTCATAACCGTGTTAATGTAAACTCACAAACATCACAATCTGGACCACCGCACAAGGTCATATGCAAAGAACCAAACATACACATCCGGATACAACGCTCTAAACTTCTCTGTTGTGAATTTAAATGAACGTGTACACAGTCAAACAGAATCTAATTAAAATGCAGAGATGTAGCGGTAATTTAACCAGATATTAGCACCTTAGGCGGCAGAACTCACACTGCCAAAATCAACAGCTAAAAAGTAAAGAAATGCTAATATTCAAGGGAAAGGCTGCTCCCATCCGGGGGCCCATTACCATAGACATTAATAAAAAGAACGCACTTGGAGCTGGGAGAACACACCCAGTGTGTGCACTGCACATGTACCACACAAGGCCATAAACAAACAGCACATGTACAGTAAGGCGAGCGGAGGAATCTTTACCCACAACCGCCTGCAGCTATCTCCCCCCCCACCGAGGGACCGAGCCTTCAACAAGATGTAAGAATGAGAGCCAAAAGTCAAAACGAAATGCTTTAAAATGCAATCTAAACAGCGAGCACAGAGCCAGCGCTGGGCCGGACTCATTACTAATGTTGGCCTCAATGAGTTCATCAAAGCGACGGTGCCAGAGCAGAGCCAAGAGCGACGCTATTGGTCAGTGTCCACACCATGTGACCACCCACATACATGGATAGAGAGACTGT